GATGAACTCGTGGATGGCCTTGATGATCTCCTCAGTCGAGAAGTAGGCGATATCATCGACGTAGAGGACAATTAGTCCATGCATGGTACCCGTGACCTCGCACAAGATCATCCAGAGCTCAGGCTCAGCAACTGTGGGTCGCAGAACCAGGATCATCTCTCCAACCTTGATTCTGGCTCGCTTCAACCTCTCATTTCGGAACAAACTCCAAATTCTTGGGGATTCCCTCAACCCATATAATGGACGTTCCACTATCCATGCTTCAGCCTCCGTCACTCCAGAGTCCTTGACCACTCTAGGCGGATAGATGCCGTACTTGGGGAGGTCGGGCGGCCAACTGGCTAGTAGAAAAGCTCCAGTAATATCACTGACAGCTCCCAGCCAGCATCTCAGGGCCGCTATAACCAACGACAAGCGTAGTGCGTCAGTGGAAGTTCCTGACGCGTAAAGGTCGCCGAATTCAAGGTTATCGNNNTTCCCACATATCACAACCCGACACTTCCTGCGGGCACGCTTGCCCGCCTCCTGCGGCGGTTTAAGCGTGAACACGCACTTCGCAGGCGCGAACATCACCTTGGAATCCTTCTCGAGCTGTTTGGCTTCAGATAAGCTAATGCGCCTGAGGGTCCCGGACTCGAGCAACGCGGTCACTTCTTTACGAATAGCATCCACCCACCTTGAAAGGTTGCGCTTCACCTGTTCAATCGGGACCGTATGAACAATCTTGAGGTCACCCTCCATGCTGTTCAACATCTCTTCGTAGTCAATCTGGTCGGAAGACGTAGTCGTAGAAGTTGCCCGAGCCGCCCTCAAGCACGCCGTAGTTCGTTGGCGTTCCAACCCAACAAGCTCCTCATGGACTCCTTCCAGGAACTCACAAACCTGAGCTCGAGCATCACCAAGGGTGTCCCGTGCAACCTGACCCATTCTTCGATACTCTTCACACATGATTTCCTCCTCCTCAAGTAAATCACGTAGTCTGGCTGCACGGTCCTCGAGGTCCCCAATGGCCAACTCAACATCCTCGGTCAAGTAGCACAACGAGTCACAGCAAGAATGCGAAAACTGTTGACCCTCCCCAACGCCCTCTTGTTCTGGAGAATCTCGAGGTTGTTCTGGAACATCACACTCTAAATCGACCTCACCAACGCCCTCTTGTTCTGGAGAATCTCGATGTTGTTCTGGAACATCACATGCTTCTGCTGCATCAAGTAGACCCACACAAATAGGCCTCAAAGCAACTGGCTCCTTACTTCGGGACGTCAAAGACTCCGACATCGCCGACTGTAGCTGCGCCATCCCCTGAACCAGAGCTCCAAGAGGATCTTGAAGAACTTGTCCAGCCTGTACACCGGCGCCCGCACCTGTCGTCGCCGCACCCGGCGGCCGTTGCTGTGGCTGTCCTCCACCAGCCGAATGCTCCATGGCCTGAGCCCCACCTTCTCCAGGGCGTCTGCTGCGTAGGGGCAGCCAAGCTCCAAGTGGATCATCAACTCTAGCTTCTGGTTGTACAGAAGTGAAGCCTGAGCTGAGACCACAAGTTAAACTGTTCAACTCTAGCTTCCGGTTGTACATGCGAAGCCTGAGCTGAGACTACAGTCCTCTATACAAAGCTTCAAGTTTGGCCCAGTCATCAGACTTAAACCAAAGCGCAGCAAGACATATGTAGCATGATGGTCCACGACACCAACATATTTATTAAGGCCTCTATAATCGTGTATTAGTAATTCTCGAGCAAGTGGCCAGCCATTGATACCCCAGGGGGAAGCGGGTCACCTGCGCCATGAAAACATCACGCACGTCGGTGCGGACGCTCAGCTCGAGCTGCTTCACAGAGCCGTACCACTGGACGACGCATCCTTCCAGAATTTCCTTGGATTAAACTTGGGGTACAGCATGGACCTTTGGCACTAGCAGTCCGCATGTGATGGTATAGAATACCCAAACTTGTAGACTTACTACTTTGTACAGCATACCATAATATTGTCCCGGTTGGTCAGAGCAAGAACAATCGAGGCTCCCTGTCGCAAGGAATGACATTCCCCTTTGGGTCGCGGTGGTTTATGGAACAGCAGCGGCACGTGACCTTCTGCCATGTGAAGTTCCCGAACTGCTCCTTCGCTTCCATGATTGTTTGCCAGAGTCTCTGAAACAGATAGATATTGGTGCAGTTTCCCAATGCGAACAAGAATATTCGCAGGAGGGCAACCTCATCTGTATCAGGGAGGCAGGTCTCAAAGAGAAGCGCGAGCACAACGGTAGTCGTCATGAGGAAAGACATGGGCACCAAGACGGTGGGCTTGATAACCAAGCTCGTCTGAAAGTCTTCACGGTGACCGTGGAGAAAGGCGGCAAGCTCGAAAACACACCATAGCCTGAACGCCAAAACGTTAAAACCCTAAAGCCCTACATCCTGAACCGTACACCCCTGAACCCTACATCAAACCATAAAGCCAAAGCCCTGAAAAGCAAATCATACCAGAATTATAACCAGGAGCCCCGAAATAATGTAGGTAAGTATTATGAGGCCCTTATATTAAACCCTAAACCCTAAACCTTAAACCCGAAACCGTAAACCCTAAACCCTAAACCTTCTTTGAGGCTCGAGCCTCTGACTCCCCTAACCTCCCTCTCGGCATGCTATGATTTCGCAGGCAAAAAGAACCAGTTAGGGTTAAGGATCTAAGGTCTAAGTTTTATTGTTTAGGGTTGAAAAGCCAGAAACATGAGTTAAATCATGTACTAGTACGTTTTTGTTAACCTTGATGTCATATGAGCATGGCTTGCTCAAGGATTGGCTCTGGGGTTTAAAGTTTAAGGCCTTGCAAATGGGCGTTCGTACAAAAACGGATACATAGATCTGAGCCTCTGAAGGCTACGTTGAATGCCGCAATCCCCAGTGACCCTCTTTGCCGCGTTCCAGTCGTCGGAGGATGGAAGCTTTACACAGCTGTTTCAGGTTGAGGGTTTAGAGGGCGGCCCTAAACCCTAAACCTTAAAGTGGTACTTTACATTGTTTAGGGTTTAGGGTTCAGGTCCCAGGGTCCTTACAATCTGCTGGCAGGGAAGGAAGTTCTTCCGACGACCCTTGCAAGCCCTGAGTACCGAAAAAGACACGCTCTTGCGCCATCCTTTCGGGGGCCTTGAGGTCTGGGCGTAAGCTTTTTTTTTCTCACAGTTGTGCCCAGTGAATACTACATCTTCACGACTACCTATATTGCCAGTATCATTGCGGCTGCTATCAATCATGCGTCTTACATAGTATCATTATCACTACTTGCAAACTGCATGATAGTCTGATACCATGTTCAGTCTTCTTCCTATTTCCTGAGCAGCTTCTTCTAAGGCCTTGGCGAGGGTAATGGGGTTTGGTTTCGACCCGGGGTTTAGCATGAGAAGCCCCGTTTTCAAACACGAAAGAACGTGTTTAAACACAACAAGACGTCTCAAAAAGACGCCCCAAAAGGGCCCTTGAAACGAATCCCCGAAGGCGCCCCAAAGACCATCAAACAAAGAAACCTTCTTTAATTTAAGTGCACCGGAGCCCTTCAAAAAAAACACCCAAAGGGCCTGGAGAGATAGGAGGGGTCCCAAACGACCACCAACGTCCGAGACTTCTTGAGCAAGGTGCCCAGGTTTAAGATGCCCTCTGCTTTCAACCTGCGAGAAAAAGGCCCTAAAACCCACACCCTAAACCCTAAGCCCCTACACCCGAAACCCGAAACCCTGTAAGGGAGGGGACTTATAACCAGAATGAAAGGCGGCGACTTCCGGGCCGTAGGCTCGACCACTCAGCGGGGTGATAAGGTTTTAGAAGGGATGCCGGAGTCTGTAAAATCCCTTAGGTAAGGAACGTAATGTCGGGGCATGAACCATTAGAATAGGGTTTTGGGGTCCCTGTAAAGGGTTCTGTAAAGCTACCATAAGGGTTTAGGGTTTTAGGGGCCTTAATGATTAGAATAGGGTTTGGGGGTATATTATGCTACAGTTATAGCAAGGACCCCCCCCC